GCGCGCTCCTCGACCCGGAAGTGCACTGGAGCCGGTTCCGGGGCCCTCCGCCCCGCCCGTGGCAGAAACCACCGGGACCCAGGCGGGGAAAAAGGGCCTGAGGTGGAGGAAGGAGCCATTCCCTGCAGTCGGGGATCTCGAGGCTTGGGAATACTGTTTAGCGCACTAGCATTTTCCAAGGGGACCAGTTTCCTGGGAGAACTTTAGGTATCTAAGCCCCCGCTAGTGGGCTGTGCCGCGCTGTCCTCCTCCGTCAGGAAGATGGCATAGTCCGACCCTCGCCCGCCGCCCGGAGCGAATGGGAGCGGCCGTCTTGCACACCTAGGGTCCCGCCTACAGCCTGGGCCCCGCCCCCACTCGGTGACCCGCCCCCATCTCCGCCGCCCACCCCTCCAGCCGCCAGACCCAGAGCGCGAGCCGGCTACAGTCCGGCCTGGCCGCTGTGGTGGCGCTCTCGGGGCCAGCGACTTCGCGCCGTCCGTACACTCTGGCCAAACTGATGGAGTCCTCTGCGCGGGCTCTCCCCGCAGCGAGGACGAGCCCCCAGACCCGTGTCCAGTCCGGTCCAGACACAGTAAACAATGAACGCTGCGAATCACTACGCCGCGTGGTGTGTGAGAAGCTGATTCGTGCTCTGATAAAAAGATAGAGCAGGATCCGCGGCGGGAGCAGAGAGGACTGGCCAGTGGTGGCTGGTGAGGATGGACATTGCCAAGACGTGAGAGCAGAGAGGGGCAGCCGTGGGGAGATCTCGGAGAAGCAACCGGGAACCCACAAGGGAGGCCCACGAGGGTGGGCCCGGGCGGGGAGCGGCCAGAGGCTCTGGGGGCACTGGAGGATAATGAGCAGGGATGACAGGTGCTGGCTTATAGAGTCCCCGGGGGCGGCAGCGTGTGAACAGACTGGAGCTGCTGGGGCAGACCTGGGAGACCAGTCAGGAAGCCACTTAGGTGAGTCAGGGGCCACCGTGGTGCGGGCTCAGGTTGGGGCAGCGCTTGTGTGGGAAGCTATCTGCTCCTGGTAGATTCTGAAGACAGAACTGAAGCGAGTTTGCTGAGGGGTTAGATATGAGATGCCAGGTAAAAGGGGGAAACCAGGAGAGGGTTTCTGGAAGCCAGAAGGAGAAGGCGCATCCAGGAGAACCTCTGAGTGGAGGGAGATGGGGGTCAGGCGCAGAGCAGCGCTGGGGGTGGGGGAGCTGGAGGGAGTTTAAAGAGAATGGGAGGAGAATAATCAGACAGCAGCACCGAGTGGGAAACAAAAGTGGAGGCCACTAAGAAGTATCCCACCAAGAGAGGGTGGTTTTGTTTTTTCTGTTTGCAACAGGAGAAATAATCCCCATGCTTACAAGTTCTAGAAAGGACTTTGCAGAAAGGAAGCATGGGTGTGGATGGTGCCAGAGAAGTGAGGGAGCCTGGAGAAAATCTCTGTTGGGGGTGGGGGGAGTGGCTGGCCTGTGCTGGCCCTTCTACACACACATGCCTTCCTGCCAGAGACCACAAGATGTAAGGACCCTGTCCAGTGGAGAGCCCCAAATGGGGGTGGGTTGGCATCACTCCACTGAAGCTCCTGAGAAGGTCTGGGACAAGCAGCTTATGGCCAACTTGGAGCACCCTTGGAGAGGAACCAGCCCCTCCCACCTTCATCTGCAGCTGCTCCTCAGGGCTGCTGGAAAATTGTCATGAGAAACGTGTATCTGTGATGAGCTGCAAACATGTCCGCAGTGCACAACCTACCCAGCCATGCCATCCTTTGCGCAGACCGAGATATGTCCCCAGGGAACTGCCCGAACCACTGGTCTGGTCCCAAACTCAGCAAAGCTGCTACCTCTTGGGAGCATAGGCACATATCTGTACCTCCCACCTGACACCCTCTACCCACCCACCCAACAAACAACTCACCTCCCACGTGCATGCATGCACCTTCCTTGTGTACTCCACCTTCAGTGTTGTCGCCCCCGGGCACAATGGCTGGCCACTCACTGCCGCTTCTCGTGCTAGTGCCAGGCAAGGACACGCATGTGCGCTCTGCCTACATGCCCCTCACAGACCTGTACCCTGAAGCCCTCGTTGGGTTCCAGGTGTGTGCTGGCCCAGACACTGTGTGCATGCCCCTTCCCATGTGTGTATGGAAGGGGGAGCTGCACAAGGAGCTCCCTTGGCCAGCCTCTTCCCCTGTCATCAGGCCTGTGCAAATGCACAGGTCTGCATTCCGTAACTTAGGAAAGTTGGTGTATCAGTGTCCTGGGGCCGCCATAACAAATGACCACAGACTGGGTGGCTTAAAACAACACATTTGTTCTCTGACATTCCTGAAGGCCAGAAGTCCAAAATCTAGGCTGATAGCTGTGTCTTCCCTCC